GCTGTCAGCAAGAAGTCTAACTAGAAGCATTATGCGGTCATGCGAGGCACACACATGCAGGCTGCTTTTAAAATACCCCACTGCACTCCATGTCTCAGGGTTTTATCTCTGCAAACGTTTAATGTGTACAGTAGATCTGCCAGTAAATGTTCTTAATTCAATTATATAGCTTAATTTTTTGTAATTAGGCTTTTTAATGATAAAAAATGGCAATGACTGAGGAAAAAAAACACCACCACCAGTGTCTGTCTGTCACTGGAGCGACACAGAATGCAGAAGCTGGGTTTCCGTTAGGATAACAGGCAGGGAGGTTACTATCAGCCTGCAGTACCACACACTGTGTTTGTCCAAGTCAGAACAGCTGTTTGGTGTCGGCCTGTGTGCTTCAGACACACCGCTGCCCGCTCAAGCAGAGAGAGAATGATTAAGTCGAGTCTAATTAGGGATCATCTGTCAATGAGTATCTGCTGAGCAACTGAAGGTAAGTCAGACTCAACAGTTTAATCTCGCGTAACAGTTTTTAAACAGATCTTGGAATATAATTTTGTATAATTTTGTATCATCTCATGCGGCAAAATTTTCAACTCACTACAAAAGTTACGATTGTTCAAACATCGTTTTAAAAAGAAATTCATTCCTACATGAACTGTGTCACAGTCCAAGCTTTCTGCAGCTCACACGACGTTACCAGCCAACCGAGGTCCCTAATAGTTTTGGTGTACCCAAATTGCAGCCCGCTCATAAAATGTTCCACACACAAATTGCTCGCTCCATGAGTCATTTTATACCACATAGGTGCCAAACACACAGGAAGCAACACTGTTGACATGGAAACCTAATAAACAGACAAACAGACTCGACTATAGACTGAATAGACAGAAATGTGTACTCTTGTAATTTTTTCTGGGCAACAGTGCAAGGAGATGCTAGTCTAAAAGCAAAGTGATGTATATAGAAAATGAAATACCATAAAAAAGAGTTTATCCAGAGAAAAAAATAGCAACAATATAATAAAAAAATATATACAACTTGAAAACATCTGACTAGGGCAACTGCACAATTACTTGAGATTGACAGAGATTTAAAGTTAAGAAAGTTGCTAGTTGTAATTGAAAGACTACACAGAACCACTCACCAGTCAGTGCTTTCCAGCTGCTCTTCTTCTGTCCTTGACTTTATGTCATTCCTAATTCTGTCACTAATTTTTTTTCTTTTCCCAATGCGCTCAGACCTCACAGTCTCAAATCAAATCCTCACTTGTATTACACCTCAAATGTAAAACGTCTTTGCTTCTCTCAGCCTCTCTGTCTCTGTCTCTCTGTCGGTCTCTATCCAGCTATTCCAGACATGTTTCAGGGCTCAGCCCCAGCCAAATATGGGAGGAGGCCGGCGAACGAGGAAGGCGGCCTGCGCTGTCAGTGGGCATGCTGCCCTACTGTACACCACACAGACACAGAAACACACACAGACACACTCTCCAGTGGCAAGGTTGTTTTTAGAGGCTGTTTTCATTCTTTATAGATGAGTTATCTAACAATCATTTTATGTAATGCTCTTATGATTCTTTAGAAACTTATGGAAAACCTGATGAAGGTGAGGAAGCACCTCTAAATGTTACTGCAAACTCTTAAGGACTGAATTACAAAACACAAATGTATCCAGCACCAAATGATGGTGTTAATTCATTAGACTTCATAAAATATAGCAAAAGGGGTCCAAATATATTTGATATTTGTATCAGTGCTTTGATACTGATGGAGACTAATTATGCCTAAATCAAACATATTATGTCCTTTACTGCAAAAGTCTGGAGTCATCCTTCATTCCTTTGTATTTTGGTAGGAAAATGCGGTATAGGCACAGTGATTTATTAAAATGTTTAAACATACATGTAAATATAGTATGTTTATCTGTCAAGATGATCTCAAACTGCTTCAGCAATGTTAAGGTGGAGAGGCCAATCCATGATTCACAGTGTTCATTTTTAAATAAAATGTTTTCCAGTTGGTATTGCATGTTGGATCGAACTCTGGTGGTTCTGTTATGTGTTTGTAATTCATCACTTTTAAGAAAATCTTTAACACCACTGACTGAAATGTATCCCAAACCATGACACTGTAGACAGTGTTGTACCTCTTTCCTGACCTCCAACATACATACTGATGATGATTTGGATTCAACACTTCATCAGACAAGTTTTTGTGTAATTTTCATACCTCAGTCTTTTCTCCCTGTTTCCCTTCACTAAGAATAGCTTCCTGACAGCCGCCCTTCCACTGAGGCTTTAGTGAACAGTAGATGGATCAGCTGAAGACCTTTGATGGATTTTTTTCTGATTTCTTAAGGACATGACTTTCAGATACTGTTCATTTGCTGTAGGTATTTTTTTGGCCAGCCACTGCGCAAAATGCCAAGATACACCAAGTTTTCACAATTTAAAATGCAATACAATTTAAACAATATTTTTTTGTTAATTATTAAAAACTCATAGGTCAGTGTTAAGTTTCTTAATAATTATATACATTAAAAAACAACCCGGAAAATGTTCACGTACAAGGATTGGACTGAAAATGAGTGAAAAAACAGCCAATGTCCAAAGAAAAACATGGAAAAACCTTCAGAAAGTTGGACAGCTGTTGCTCAAGACAATGTTAAAAAAATTACAAGAAAAATCTGACTCCCTGCGAGCCAAATGTAAAGCAATGAGTGATGGCTCAGGTCTTCTACCCCCCACCTGTCATGAAATCCCTCAATTCTGCTACAATAGCGTGTTCCTTGGCTTTTTAGCCAGGCCATTAGTGATGACAAGACCAGACCAGTTAGAGGTTCGGAGCTAGGATTATTAGTGGATCCTTGGAAAATGTTGTCTTCTTAAGGGGTTAGCAGCCGAGCTGAGGTACAAATCTCTACGGCCACCCATTGGGCCAAATGGTTGCCTTTTTACTGATTTGACCTCTGGGCCAACAGCTGCCTCCAGACCACAGGGCTTCTAGTGGAGCAAAGGGAAGCCGACAAACACAAGGTGCACTACATAAACATGCACTCCTGCATACCTCATGAAAAACTGCAACAGAGCTACACTAACATGCAAATATTTACAAGCACACAGACCAGCTTGCATGCCCATATAGAGCAAAAAACACTGTATAATACAAACAGCTGGGCACATACCAGACTCCTCTCCTTTTTTTGTCAATGTGCCTGTGCGTCAGTATGAACCACACACATCTCTAAGCTACCAAATCCTTCAGACCTTTTTAAGATGCCCGTCTTTCACCGAGTTCTCTCAACTGGATTTCCAAGGTCAGTGGACTCTGTTAAAAATGGCGTCAGGAAGAGCTCGCCAAACCTCAAAAGTATTCAGACATCAACACCTGAGGATGAAGCATTTGTTCAATTATTTAAATGAGACCCGACGAGTGATCATTGTCCACTGAGCTGGAGCAGTTAAAAATAGGCCATTCTGTCATAGAGCTTATAAGAGTTTAGAGTTTGTGTGGGCTTGCCAACTCAAATGTACATCGTACACGTGATTAACCTTTTTTCACAGAGGTGGTTATATTTTATCAAACGCCAAAAAAACGTTTGTTCACCAGTCTTGTGTTAACTAATTCTTTGAATCTTGCATTTTCAGTTTTGTGTCTTCCAAAACAACTAAGGTACAGAGCATCCTCTGTCGATCCAAACCTTGCGAATACAGACACCATATTCCTGCGCAAGTCTCGACTCAGCATCCACACGCCCGCATCCAAGTGTAAGAGCGAAGCCTGCAATTAGAGAGATGAATACACTGGCTGGGAGTTTTTCGTTATTTTTTTCTGCTGAGTGCTGCGAACACCGCTGCCCATTCAATTAGGCTCAAACTTGCAATCCTGGCGATTCCCACTGACCTTCCTGCAGCACAGCAATTACTGCAACGGTTCTCTGGGGATGTTCATAAAAATGAAATGGGTCTTTGCAAAGCTGGAAGAAAAAAATCCCATATATAAAAGTGGACGCAGCACTACAAAGACTGCCAAGTCCTGACTCAACCAAGGGTGACTACATCCTCCTGTTTGCGCAGATTTCTTTGATTAACAGCAGTAATCATGAATCTCATCATTACTGAGAGGATCCAAGGGACCGTGCCAGACTGGCAGCTATTGTAAGTAGCCAAAAATACATTTTAGGAACTGCAGAAGCAGTGATGATGATGATGATGTGTTAGTGATTCCACTTCTCCAGTTGTTCATTTGCACACTGGATATATAAACATTAACAAAAGGCAAACACTATGTATAGCAGGTTTGTAGCATATCCGGGAGAAAGCTACAACATAAGCTACGAGGACATGCGTACTTTTGCATTACATGGCTGACAATCAGACAAGCAAACATTCCTTTCTTTGTGCCATATTTCAAAAATCAGGGCTCTGAAGTAAAAATACTAAAACAAACACAGCTTCTATAATGGGTGTTTAGCATTTTATGGAGTGCCCGCATTTTAAGTTCTGGACTCCTGGCACAGAAGCAATAGCTCAGAGTGGATAGAAATGAATAGGGGGACTTGCGGGAGTTAGGCCCGGTGGTGTTTTAAGTTACACCCCCCTCAGGGAGGGAGCAGCCAGTAACAGGGTGACTGACGCCCCCTATTTCTTCAGCAGCTATTTAAAGTCCTAACTGACAAGCTGAGAGAGTAGCAGGAGGAGGAGGGTGTAGGGCTTTACAGGAAATCCTTCCCTTTGGTCAAGGCTCTAGATCTTGATCTGATAAGGGCGAGGAACTTGATTTATCTGTGAAAGATAGGTTGGTACTTATATGTATTATTATTATCATTACAAACTATATATATTATTTTGTTTCTGTTTCAGTCTTCTTCATATTTGTATATTCCTGTGTGTACAAAAAGCGTTAATCTCCTATCCAGGTGGTTCATTCAGAAAAGTCAGGTTACCTGGTTGACATTTTTCCCTTTTTAGAATTTCGCCTCTCCAAAATAGTCACTGTATGTCATTTGCATACCGTGGTCAGCATCTGCAGCTTCCTCACAGCGATGGCTGAAACTCTCATATGAGTCCCAGCGGATCAGAGGGTCCTGGGTGTTGTAGTCCACTGAAACACTCGGCCCATTCTCCAAGTGACTCAGGCCTGTGGTTCACACAAGTAACATCATCATACAGGGCACTGTCATATTAGAACGTTTATATACAGCGACAATATTTGAGGTTGGAATGACCTAAAACATTTAATAATAAGTTATCTTCTATTAGTCTGTACATTTGAAATGGAGTTCCTCTGTCAGTGGTTTGTGGCTATATTGACTTACACTCTGTTATTGGGAAAACCACTTTTGATTAATCAGCATTTTTATATTAAGGTATTTGTGTATAAAATTCATTACGCTTAAATAACAAATGTTGTTTTATTCTTAAATAGTGTTTTTTCAAACACAACATTGATTTGTTTGGGATAAATCTTCTGTTATCACTATGTTTTCTTTTTGCTATTTTATTTTTTACGCTAACACATTTCTCATGACTTTTACTCTCAAGGGACTCTTTGGTTGACTCTGATGCATTTACATTAACGTACATTATGCTTTCGTATCAAGTTTATTAATGTAAATATTTCCTTTATAAACAAATTTTTTAAAAATGAAAAAAGAAAGAAGTATCATATTTTAACACACTGACACACATTTAAACCACTACCCAATGTAAGGCCACAGCTGCCCTAAATTAACAATATTGGTAATTACAAAAACCGTTTCTTACATATCTGTAATGGTTAAACATTTGTGCACAAAAATATTGTTCTTTTCCATGAACTTTCAAATTTGCTGTTTAACAAAACAGCAGAAAAAAAGTAAAGCACACTATTGTTTTTTGATTAAGAGCTGATATCACTGTTTTTTTGTTTTGTTTTTTACTTGCTTTTCTTTTACTTTACCTAAACAAAAACAAGTGTTTAGGTGATTGGATGTTTTGCTTGACTCATTTCTGAATTCTTCTCAGAGAAGTCCAGTGTGCCGGCTCAGATTTGGGGGTGATAACGTGCATTCAGTATCTTATTTACCTAATAAATAACTATATATACTTAGTTAGTTTACATATATCCATTTTCCTGTTTTATTTTTATAACAGGTGGTCTAATAAATTCAGGGCCTGTATACATGCACACTTATGAACCCCTGGTATTCTCCGAGCGCTTCAATTAAAATAATACATTTTAAGAAAATTCTTTTTTAAAATTTTGAAAAAAAAAACAAAAAACTTGCAGCAGCTAATACATCAGATCTCAGTTCTAAATGTTGAAAAAAAAACATGTGATGCTAACAATCAATTTCTCCTTTCCCAAAATGGATTACCTTTGATTTTCTCCGGTCCGTATGAGAACACGAACTCCACCTTCCCGTACTCTGGAAACCTCTCATCTGCAGACACACACAACGAGAAATTAAAACCATGAGCGCATGTGTGGGTTTCACATCAAACAAAGGCACGGTTACAATTTATCATACATAGGATTTATTATTTTACAGTTTTTGTGTATGAATTTAAATTACTTATCCAAATTCAAATCAATTGTGCAAATTTAGTGTGAATTTGATCTTCCTTTAATAAGAAATCTCTGGTTACTTATCACCATAATCACAGTGTTACTGTAAGTGAATGCTTTTCTGCTTCACCACCAGAGGACCCTGTTTACTGTAATACTGTGGGGAACACTGTCCTCCTGCATCAGGACCCATGAATTTTTCCATGCTGCAAACCAGAGATCCAAGCAGCAGATAGAAGAGCGTCAGACACTGAAGCCATTATACAGTCTTGAGGTAGCATTTTGGTAGTCTAGGTCAACACTAGGACAGTGAACACCACCAGTCTTTTGTGTATAAATACACAAGTCATAAAGCTTTTGTCATATCAGTGCTAATCTTGTGTATTTTTAAAAAAAGAACCCTTTTTGAGATGCATAACCTTGATTCACAAAAACTCTATACAACTGTATGTTTTTAAGTGTCAAACAGTGTGTTGTGTAAATCCAAGCAAATTAAAATTACCTTTGAAGGTCTCGTCCAGCTCACTCTTCCCAAAAACCACCCCAAGATCATGGATGGCACAAGTATGGAACTGCACCCTGAACACAACATCTCTGGTTGGGCTTCTGTATCTCTTGTGGTAACACTTGAGCTACGTTTAACAGATAATAGAGAAAAAAATGGAGAAACATCATGAGACTATATAATATTAGGAAAATGTAAAGAAAAAAAGGTAAATGGAAGGCAACTGTTGTTTAAGTAAGGAAACATTTTTTGTTATCTTACCAGGATGTCTCCCTTAAGAAGCAGTCCAGGTTCAATGGTGATACAGATACTGGTGTTGCTGTCCCCTTGCACATTGCTACAGTTAAAAAGACAAAATACTAACCTTTAAAATAAAATTACTTTTCACCTCACAGGTTCATTTTATGCCTGAATTCAAACACAAACCACGCTGAACTAGAATAAAAATTCCCATACTATATTCCTGACGTGTAGACTGGTTGCATTGCCTGGTAGATTTTCAGGAAAGGACGGCAACCTGTGAAGTGATATAAATAAGAAATCTGAAATGTGTTCAAGAAAAACAGTTTTTTCTAGTTTTTTAAAATTTTCATTTAAAAAAATCTGCCAGTGGTAAATGGCCTGTATTTGTATAACGCTTTACTGGTAGATGCTCACCTCCTTTGGACTCAAAGTTAGGTATGCCGTGCATGATGACGTGATGCAGGAACAGAGGCTTGTTGTTGATTTTTATGTGTCCTGACAGAAGGCCGTTGAAGTATCGCACATACCTGGACACAATGAAAAGTAAGCACTCAGTCCCAAAGTCTTTACAGATCAAGCTTAAAGATGAGGACAGATAACAAAACTGCAGGTTTTCCTCTCTCCATTCACTTGAATTTTCATAGGCCTTTATTTTAAACAATGCTTTAGAAAAACCCATAATGACATGTTATTATTACAAGGCATGTAAATGCTTTAGAGTGTAAGTAAGAGAGGGAATGAAAAACTAAAAACAGCAGACTAAGGGTGATAGCGTCGGGTGTTAAGGTTGTGCAGCCAAAGAAGTAAAAAGATTGGATGGATTATTTTGGAACTAGAAGTCTTCTGTTATCGATACTAGTCACTTGTAACTGAACAAACCTTTGATAAAGGGATTCGTTGGACCTGATGTGAACAATAGAATGAATGTTAGAAGACTGCCTGTATTATGGGGAAATGCTCTCTGGGGATCATGAATATCTTCACAAAATCTCATAGCAAACAGCCGATTCCTTGTTGAGACATCACTTTATCCTCCCACTAAGCACCTCCTGGCTAAGTTACACGCCAAATCCTCATCCTGCTCATTCGGTGCGGTTCACCTTTACCGCCTGTGAGCTCCAACAAAACAGCCAGAACACAATTTCACTCGTTAAACAGCCTTTATCTACTTTGGGAAACGTCACACTGAGTTGATGTGTACGGAGGCCAGTTGGGGGTCTGCTGAGTTACTGGGGTCTGGTTGTTAATGATGATAATGATGATGGTACCGAACGTAACCTTGACCGCAGGGTTGCCACATGCACACGCCTTCCTTGCTCTGCTGTCAGTGGCCAGATGGTTTTGCCTCTGTGAAATTCAATTAGACCAAGCTGGGACGCCATGTTAGCAGTACTGAGATTAACAAAGGCTTGTAAGTATGCCATATATGTGTGTGTGCGATATGACACATAATTACATTTTGTCTTATAACAAGAAAACATCCTGTGATGAATGTCCTGGTCGAGGCAGTGCCATTACAACGTCTTTTTGTCATTTTCTGTTGAGTTGATTTTCTTTTTTTAACTCATGCTGCTAGCAATTGTATTTATATAGCACATTTAATTACATGTAATCTCATTGTGCATATTAAAATTAAACCTAAAAAAAATCGACTAATGTCAGATATACACTCAGTGATATATTAGGTACAACTACTCCACCATTTGTTGATGTAAATTTCTAACCAGGTAATTAGATGGCAGCAAAAAACTGCATTTAGTGATTTAGACACGATGACTTGCTGAACTTCTGAGCATCAGAATGAGGAAGAAAGATCATTTAAGTGACTTTGAACACGGTTGTTGGTGCCAGACATGCTTATCTAAATTTGGTTGGTAGGGTCATGTAAACAACATGAAAGCGTGGATCCATCCTCGTTGGTATCAACGGTTCAGGCTTCTGGTGGTGTAATGGTGTGGAGGATATTTTCTCAGCACACTTTGCGGTCTTTAGTACCACGGGAGCATTGTTCAAACACCACAGTCAGTATTCACATGGTCAGTATTGTTGCTAACCATGTACATCCCTTTATGACCACAGTGTACCATCTTCTGATTTCTTCTGATTTCTCCTTGATTTGATGGCGCCGGTGAGGTCGGCTGCCGTCACGACTGCTCCGACCACTTTTTCTTTGTCTTTGTTTTTTAAGTTAGTTTTCAGCATTTCTAAATCGGCAAAATCACCACCATTGGGTACATTAGGTATGACAGTGACACTCTTGTTTCTATTGGTTTACAATGTACTCACAATT